TTTGCTGGTGATTGGTTGGTTGGTCAGTCGGTTGGTAGGTTTGTTTGTTTGTTCTCAAATGGTCGTTTGTTTGAGCGGGTCAGCTGGGTCCATTTACAAAGCTGGAGGTCTCAAACGGTCTCGCGACCAGTTTGAAGTTGCGTGGAAGGGGTATGATGACGTTTCATATGTCATTTTGGTTTCAGATGTTGGTTGGTGAATGAAAATTATTTGCCAGCAGTGTCTGTGAAATAGTTGGATGAAAATTTTACATTATTTAACTGAATGACTATGTGGCTGATAACTTTTTCATGGGATCGTCGTCGTCCTCCCAGCACCACACCATACCACACACCACACCACAAACCACACCACACACCACACCAGATGGAACGACTGACCTACCTGGAGGAGGAAAAGATCCAACCTGGGGACAAGAGGAAGAGGAAGGAGGTCGACTACTCGGACACACTCACCGAGAAGCAGTGGCTCAGGGTCAGTTGGTCTGGAGAAATGGTTGCAGTTGGTCTGGGGGGAGGGTTGCAGTTGGTCTGGAGTGATGGTTGCAGTTGGTCTGGAGTGATGTTTCTTCATCTATTGCTTTTGTTTCTTGGAGCATAGTGAAGACAAAAACATTCGGGCTCCTGGAGCTTGCCATTAAGCAAGATGGATGGGAAAATTGATTTACAGCCTCAAAAATTCATTCACAATTCAGATTTACTACCCATGATTTGACATCTATTGGCCACTTCTACACTTTTGTACTGAAGGTGTACATAAAGTCCTGGTTTACCTCTCCATGTGCTTCATCTGCTCCAAACAATGACTTGCTGCTGCTTCGAGAGTTAGAAAACTACAAGAAAACAAATAAAGCTGTTGCTAATGCTGCGTTGAAGTCATACTCTGGTCATTTATGGTACTTGAATAATGTATTGATCGGCTTAGCATTCTTTGACTCGGAAGTCTCATCTGCGACGAAATCAGCCATGGTTGAGGCACTGGATAAGGCAACAACCGATCAACCTATATGACGCATTACATTCCAGCACACAATATCAGAGAAGCGGCTTTCGGACTTCCTATCGCAACGTACCAGGCAACTGTTCACTGCTTTGGATATACCACAAAAATTTTTGAGCAGTAGTCCAGACATGTGGAACACTGACAATGACTACATTATTGGTCAACGGAAAGTAAAAAGTTTAAAAGCTGTCACGATGCCGCCGAGAGAGGAGTGGCCTTAATTCAGGAGTTCAACAGAGTTTTAACAAATGGCGAAGACCAATTGCAGTATTTGTTCCAAGTGATAGAGAAACATCGCAAAGACTTCCCAAATCCAAAGAAGTCTACCATTATTGCTGCGAGAAGAAAGTAAATACTAGACAATATGGGATCATAGTGAAACATTTTCTGTAAGTGTGTTAACGTTATTATGATGAAATTTGGCTTGTAAACGTTTCTTTGTTGAGCTACCAGTAAATATCAATATAATACATTAAAATTTTGCAATTGTTACATTTTTTTTATATTAGGAACACATTTAAGGGGTGGGAAGATG